TCACTTGTCAACTTAGAGTAGTGCCTGAAGATTACTTGGTGCGGCTATAAACGACCGTTAAATGGAATGATGAATTTTTGAAGGATTTTGAAAACGGAAAACAGACAGTTATGCCGGCCCAGCATCATCAACATTGAAAAATGCCCCGGCATGAAGTGGCTAAATGACTGATGTTCCAGGATACTTACCATAGTGGACAAAAGAAAAGCAGGATGTCAGAGTTAGGGAAACAAAATTTTTAGCTTCTGAATAATTCTTTTACCTTCTTGCTGTGTCAAAATTTATCATAGGGCACGGAAACTGGGAGCAATACATTTATTTAGGGGGGGGAGGGAAGAGAACTTGATGTGTGTGCCTTTACCTTGCCTCTGGTTATGCCAGAGATGACATACTTTACTGTGCATGCAACTACAGGCTGAAACTGTGCTACGTGCCACATCTGCAATCACTACTGTCTGTATCATTGCAGAGCTAAACCATAAACAAAAACTAAAATATCGACAATTTGTAATCTGCCTTTCCAACAAACTGTGCAAGAGTCCACTGAAACTGGTTGGATGGGGCCATTGTTTTTGCTGCACTTGAACATACTCCACTTAAAAGAAGCTGTGAGGATCAAAGCCAATGGCTCAAGTCGAGATTTGTTTAATTCATATATGCAGATGACTGGCTTAGCTTTGCACTTTTAAAGAAATGGTGTGGCACCGAGAGTGTGAAGAGTAAAAATATTTATGAATATACGGTTTACCTTTTTCCCTCAGATGATATTGTCAGTACAAAGGATCAATGGGTGATTCTCAGCACGAGTTTTGTGAAGGTGTACAACCGAGGCAACAAACAGCTGGCTGATGAGTTCCAAACGAGGCAACAAGGGGATGAGGTTGGCAAGGTGTATGAGGCTCCCCTGAGTTTGGCAATCAGGACAGACGGCAACATCATAGTGGGTTACCGCGGCAGGGGAACACTGACTGAGCACAGCCCAACCAGTGGTGACCTCGTGCGTACCATTCCAGTCCAGATTTCACCTTCTTTTTTGGCTGTGATGAGCAACAACTGGCTTGTCATCAGTGACCATGTAAAGGGACTCGTCGAAGTAGTGGAGGTTGCTGATGATAAAGCTGTTACACTCTTTACTATCAGACCTACCATTAGTGGTGAAAGAGTAAAGAGCTGCAGGGGGGTGTGTAGCAATGATTCAGGCATCTACCTCGGAGTGAGTACAGGCTTTCACAACGGAGGCCATGTTCACCACTATGACAATGAAGGTGATTTTATTAGCTGCATTGCCCAGGGACTTTACGGCCCCTACGGGATCACCTTCACAGCGGATGGACAGGAGCTAGCAGTGGCTGACCACCACTCTGTCAAGATCTATCACAAGGTCTGATGCCCTGCAGCAAAATAATGACCAACATCCCATCTGCATAAACCCCCCCCGCATATCCTCCAATTTGGCAACCACAGCAAGGAAACTTCCATAATCCTTAAAATTCTAACACTCTCCAATAAAGTGCCACGCCATCTGTGCACTAGAAGTGGTTATCATCAAACTCCATGTAATGGTAATAGTGTCTGGATTCTACAGCCCGAAAATTGTTCAAGAACAGCATAACCAAGCAATGGATACGTTGATGCTGTGGCCCCCCTTAATGCTTGAAGCTGGCGAAGTGTTGTGGAAGAGTATGTTAATTACAAACCATCATTAACTCTCCAAAATCCAACACTGCAGTAATGCAGAAAACTGTACACTTTTAAACTAATTCTTTGTTAAACACTGGTAGATCCTGCAGTAAATGCAGTAATTATGCGTGGATTCCACAGTCTTGGAAAGTACATGTACAGCAAAGGAAAACGAGGATACGGGCTGAAACAGTTTATTCAAACATGGAGAGTGGCAGAATACGATTGCTTTCTTCATGGCAACAATTGTTCAAGACCACAAATCTGTATCATAATCCACTTAAGGAGATTGAAATGAGAGATTCCATGCAGATGTAGAGCCAATGATTTTCCACGATCATGGAAAACGGACAGAATTCTTGGAATCAACACTTTGAAACAGAATCCACTGCTAGAAATGGAACTCGCAAAATTTCCCACAAAAAAAAAATAAAAAATAAAAAACTTTGTGCAAAGTACTACGAATAAATGCCTAACAAACTCTTTTAAAATGCTTGCTTCTAACGAACGAATTATGCTGGAAACATGCTAAATTACACCACTCCATCACATGATTGGGTTGTCCGTGAAGGTGTGGTGCCAATACTTGCAAGTGCTATGGTGCGTGGTTAGGCGAATGGTTTCCATGCATAGTTTAAACTTGCTCTCCCATGTCTCCTATTTCATGTTTACAAAGGTATGAAACGAAATTTTAATTTCCAAAATGCAATTTGGGATTTGGTGAAACGGAAAATCATTGGCTCTACAGATGATTTCATGAAAGCTAGATAAAAACTTGCCATCTTGCATCAGCTTTGACAACAAATTTGCAGCATAGCTGTACAATATTAGAAAAAACTGCTTGGATCAGCTGGGGTCCTTTTAATGATTTTTTTTGTGTATGTCAGGCCAATGTAATCAGGAAAGAGTATGCAGAATTCCTGTATTTCCTATCTTTTGCAAAGTGCAGAAGACTGTGCCACGTATTTCAATTTGCAATGACATACGTGGGGAATCCCACCCCCCAAAATACTGTAGAAAACAGCTGTTCTTGGGAAGTTGGATGTTTAGCGTGAGAACAAGGAAAATGCAAGCAAAAGCCTGAAATAGAAAGTGCAAAATTTTGGCATATTTTCCTCACCGCTGTCCATATACATGTACATACTTGTGATGTCAAAACAAAAAGAAGGAATATTTTCAAGGTGGCTGTCAAAAATGCAGCATCCGAAACAGTCGCATCATTCGAGAGAGATAAACATCCTTTTCACTCACTATTTGGAAAGTTTCATCTCAGATCAGTGCTGCCTCTCTCTTTTCACATTCTAAGAGAAAGTACCAATTTTCATTTTCTGCATGCAAACTGGGAGTAACTAATTCACTTGTGTGACAGAGGGATGGAGCTAAACCATCAAGTGACTTTATCTTTGCTGACTTGTGAGACTTACTGATTGAAGCATATATAGTCCAGGCCAGAAGTGCCTGGTACAGGTTTGAAACAGGTGGACACATAAGACTACATAACCAATAGCTGGTACTATTTGTTGGACTTGATTTTGGGTGCCAGCGCAGGATTATTTTTTAAATCCTCAACAAAAGAACGCTAATTTTCTGCCATTTTTGAATGGGGACAAAAACCACCTCAAGTCTGCTGTTCTTGTTTAGCATGCTAAGTCAAGAAAATTATGTCAATGACACATAACAGAAGTTGTGACGATGCCAAACCAATGATCACAGCAGAAACATGCTTCTGGTAACAGTGGCAAAACAACAACTCTCAATGCAGGACTGGTTCCAGGCAGTTGTGGGTACCAGACTGCATCAGCTTACCTTTGATCTGGCAATAGTTTCCAGTGAATCCCTCGGGGCAGACGCACTGGGACTTCTCACAGGTGCCTCCGTTGAAGCAAGGCGGATCGCAGATTCGCTCTGAAAGATTACATCCCCCCATCACCACAATTATCAAAACTTTCAGAGATTCAACGAGATTACCTTTATGAAACTTTACACATTACAGAAAATATGCAGGTTTAGTGTGTAGCTTAGACACTGCATAGCTAAGATGTATTTATCTTTTTATTGATGCATTTTGTGGACTTTTGATGTGATGTCATTTGATGTTATCTGGTTTTTAATTGTTATAATCATTATTGTAATTTGACATTTGACATATTTCTTTCTGAGTGTGAATCAAATGCTTTTAGTCTCTGGACTAGTTGTTTGCATTTTTAACCACTTGCAACTGGGTTTCCGGTACCAGACACGTATTCATTATATGTGGCCGGGGTGTCCGAAATTGGATCAATGGAACTGGGCCTAGTAACAAAAGATGGTACTCATAACAAAAGACCATGCTGCTGGGCATTACCAACATTTTTTCACTCTCAATAGTGGAGATAATCCAGCCTTGGTTTGAAACAGTATACCATGGTTTTGGGGATTTAGCGCGAGCGGATTACCACTGAGGACAAAAGCACTCTACCACCCATAGCATTATTGGGCTGGTATACTTCCCAGAGAGCTGAAATGGTTTCAGGAACATTCAGATTTGTGAGCCCAATTTCCAGGAAGTATGATAACATACCACCACCTTTGAATTACAAACACTGTCAGAAATGCTGATGTAAAAACCCTGATGTAACATACCAGCTAGCACAAGGGTGAACGATGTTGTGAGGGGGCCTGCCCGGCACTGGTAAGTCCCTACATCAGCTTCGGTAAAATTGTGAATGACCAGGGTGTTCTGGTATGGCGGGTTGCGCTCAGCATACACACGGTCATTGGTTGAGCCTGTGTTAGGGTCACGGAAAAGGTCAGTTATGCACACAAGCCACAAACTACAGGTGTATGTGTCCTGTTAAACCACACAATAGAGGCTCTAACTTAAAGGTACAGCCCATTATTTGTCATCGATGCATTATGTTCCTTTGAGACAGTAAGCACACTGAAGATCTACAGGAGGGTGTGTAAGATTTCAATTTTAAATAAAAACTTGCCCAAAATGTCATCTTTGAATTGCGCCCAATTTCTGCATCCACGACATGTTCTCATCCAGCTGAATGCAGCTACACTGTACACACGGCTTGTATTGAACTGATAAATTATAAACTAACAATACCTCTTTGGAACAATCAAAGGCATGACAAAGACTTCAAGTCAGTTTGTGATGTCAGTCCAAAGAGGCTAGTGATTGGTCAAAATGCAGTTATTACCCCCAGTAAAATGTCTTTAAAAAAACCCCACATTTTTCTTAAACCAAGGTGACTGTCTCTGTACGGACAAAGAGCCTGAATTGCTGATGTGCTGTGCAGCACTGAATGGACTTCATCACTGGTATATCTTCCAAACACATCTACCACCATGTCAAATTCCCTGCACACTTGTCAAACACCTCCTGGGTTAATTGTGACCCAAACTAGCAAAATGAGTCAAAAGTCACCAAAGCCAGATTTAAGTTAAATGCCCTCAAAAGAATCTGGCACATGCTACAGGAACCCTCATTATTTTTCCCCCAATGTTTATTTTTATCAAGATGCCAGTTCTGAGTGATGCATTAAAAACAAAGACCTCAGTTTCCCATTTCCAATGTGCACTAAAGCAAAATTATATTGAAGAAAAATTTTACTGTGTTGCTTAACAGCAGAAAAGTTGTGCTTGCTATAGAAGAAAATTTTGCTAACTGTGAGCACTGTTTCTTGGTGATGCTTGACCTGACTGTGCTTATGGTTGCATGTACAAAGAGATTTCCACAGTTTTGTCACTAGCAAATTTTTTCACCAAGTTAAGCGTACCTTCTGCTGTGCTTCCAGCTTATGGTCTCCGTGAAATACGTGAAACCTCTGTATAAACGTAAAATTGTCTGCTTAGCAGATTTTGGGCCCTGTTCACAAGAGTTGTTTTGAGTTATCCAGTCACAATTTCTTGGGGGAGAAACCCTAGTAAAGCTTACCTTTATCAACTGATCTGACGACCTTGCCATTGGGGAACCTCCAGACCGGGTTCCTGGATGGGATTCTCCCCGCCGTGCGACACAGGAATTCCAGGTCCTCCCCGACCATGGGATTGTGCTTGATGTTGGGAACGATGGCAATGGACCCGGTCTGACTCACTTGAAATCAATCCAAACAGAATCAAATTGTCACCGACACCACAAACTGGCATTCAGTTGTACTCCAGTTTTAGAGATTGGCACACATTTTAGAGAACAGACTAGAAATGCAAAATCAAATGCACTACCACGGGAACTTGCTGGATTTATGCATCTTAACCAGTGTGACTCACTTGAAATCAGTCCATGCAAAATTGAATGTTCACTTCAACTAGCGATACATTTCTAACAAACCATCGATTAAAGTGAAAACACAAACTGATTAACACTTTAATACAGAAAGCAAAGGAAAGTCTTGTACAGGGAAGCAAAGGATAACAGAGGAAAACAGTATAGAAGACAGTTAATATATTGATATCAATAACAAACCAACATTTGTCAGTGGCAAACACTCAAAAGATGCACTAATGAGAAGTTAAATGGCATTGGTGAAGGCAAATGAGCATTTCATAAAGGAACAATTCCAAAGTGGCATTCTGACCAAAAAAAGATGAATAAGCAATTGAAGAGAAACTGAAGGGCACAAATAGTAGAGTATATTAAACACTTAAAGCACAATTTTTGCACTTTTCACAATCCCACCTTCGCCTGTCTGCCAAATGAAGTTTCCGGTATGCAGTCAAATACAACTTAATAAATCAATACAGTGTGAAATTACATGTTTCCGTTATGCAGTCAAATACAACTTAATAAATCAATACAGTGTGAAATTACATTTAGCTGTTTAGGCAAACCTGATATACTTATTTTAATCTATCATGTTTTATAATCATGGAAACATGCCATGGTTATCAATGGGAATATAGTATTTTGGAAGTAACCTCTTCACTTTCCAAAATAATACAACCCTAATTGAAAGCTATGAAATGTTTCCAAAATAATAAAATATGACATGTGATAAAATATGGTACAAGCTGACTTGATACAGAGCTCAGGAGAATGCTGGTTAAAGATCTTGCTGTGGTCACTTGTTTCATTGACTCAACATCAGTCCATACACGGCAAGCTCTTTTCAGGGAATGTCAAGTGCAAACTACTTACCTCTGATCTCACAGTACTTTCCAATGAATTCCCCCGGGCACCGACACCGTCCCTGAATGCAAGTTCCCTCGTTGGCACACATCAGAGGACATGGGTGCTCTGTTGGAGAGTGAAGACATGCTGGAGGCTCAACTCTTTTAAAAGGTCATCTGCAGGTCTTCTACTCATAGTAAAAACTCACACTGTCTTACTTCATACATATTCATCTTTGGGTGCCATCTTCTCAATGGTCCATTCACCATCACAAGCCAGTGGCTATTTTTGCTGTTTACCAAGTACATGAAGTCATCCATGCACAAGTCAAATACACACGTTCTGTAAACTGTTCCCAATAATCAATCGCTTGATTGAAGGACTGCTACCCATTTGAAGTAAGCACACATGAATGTAACCCTAGCTACTAATGGGAAGTAAGCACACATGAACATAACCCTAGCTACTAATGAAAAGTAAGCACACATGAACATAACCCTAGCTACTAATGAAAAGTAAGCACACATGAACATAACCCTAGCTACTAATGGGAAGTAAGCACACATGAACATAACTCTAGCTACTAATGGAAAGTAAGCACACATGAACATAACCCTTGCTACCAATAGAAAGATGGCCACACAAGTCAACATTGATCTGCATTTTAAATGACCCATGGAATTAATGAAATAACTAAATCTGAAAAATACTAAGATTAATTCTGTGGAATAAGGTGATGTATAACAAATGGCAAACACCAACCAGAAAGCAGTAGAAAGAGTCCTATAGTAGATGTTGCATTTTAACTGACGAAAATGCCCTTGGTTGGGGATGCATTGTGCCTGTGCACAAGCTTATGGTATGCTAGGCAAGCTCAGCCAATTTCTGTTGATATTTTGGTGCCTGGTTTGTACAGCAACCTTTCTCATTACTGGTAAAAGAGTGCTTCTACCTAGCTAACATACCCATACCAGCCAGAGTAGTGATCAATAATGCAGTGAAGGGAGCACTATATTGAAGGTCCTGTACGTGAACAAAAATATGGGGGATGCCACAGGCAGAGTTCATAAGTACATGTACTTCGTCTGTAGCATCCCCCATATTTTTGTTCAAGATAACCAAAGGCACATAATGAAACGAGTTTATAAGTACTTGTTTACAAATTATCTGCCTTTGGCTGTTTAGGTACTTTTTCCGTATGTCATCTGTATCGCTCATTTTGATCGTTAAACACTGAAATTATATAGATATGGTCCATGACGGCGAGCCACGTGCACTATTGAGCATGCTCCTACTCATCACCAAGGTTCACCTGATTCTGAGGCACTCACCATACAGGGTTATGATGACTGAGCTGTTCAGAGGCCCTGCGGCACAGTTGTAGAGTCCCGCGTCCTCTTCAGACAAGAAATTGATGACGAGTCGGCTGGCGGTCTCATTGATCAACTCCACAAAGACCCGTGAAATACCACCTACAAGATACATGCAGCAATAGTCTCAATAAAGAGTTTGATGATGTATTGTACAATACAGAGGAATGTTGGTGTGAATAGGGTAAGATGCAATGGACACAAAATGGCTCTACATAGCAATGTACCAAGTGCTGCAAAGACAAGGCTGCCTTCATTGTGCGTCCAGAAATTAAGGCATTTTAGTTTATACTGTATTCTATTCAGTGAGCAGTGAGAGTCAGTATTTTTGGATGTTAAAATCAAGTCCACTCATATCTCTATGTTGACTGGGTAATGCAGGAACCCATTACTGTGTACTAACAGAAACCATCATAAAACTACATTTTGGGGGCCTCCAAAGATTGCCATCTCTACTCTCAATGCAGCAGATCAATATCTCAGAGTTTTTCTTTGCTTGCGAGCAACAACTATTTTCTGTGATTAAAGATAAGGACAATGCTCACATACATAAACCTTGTTATAAACTTTTATGTAAAAACCAAAGCCTGGATTCACAGGCAACTAATGATAATGCCACAATGAAATCAACTGTGACTGAGACATTGAGGATTCCTCTGATAATTCATGACACTGGTAAGCAACTTTGGGGCCTACATAGACAGTACAGCAACTTTAGTGGGGCATACCTGGTACTCCTGGCTGTATGATCTGTCCACTTGGGTCCCTCCAGATGAGAGCTGACGGGGCACCGTCACCTTCTGTGTAGCACAGGAATGCTGAGTTCTCCCCAACGTAGGTTATCTGATCCTGCTCCGGTCTGATCGTAATGGCAACAGGAAGCTCTTCTGTACAAAACGAACAAATTACACCACAGTGGTTGGAAGTAAAATACAGATCTAATATTCCATCTAGTTCTAGTCTACAACAGGCAGTTGTCAGGATTACAAAGGGGACCTGTTTGTTTGACACAGATCCAGCGATCCTAATGCTGGTTCCCTCCATCAATTACGTGGGTTCTGGTCTAGACTCAGTGAACCAGTCTTGGATGACTGATTGCCATCCAGATCCACGCCAATCAAACAGGCGCAAAGCAAATGCCAGAGAAGGTAGAACTCCCCAACAAATCTTGAATATAAAACCCTCCCCTTTTTGACTACATCAACACTGTTTTTGTGGTTTGATATGGTCATTTGTTTGTCAAGGGGTCCCTTTTTGTGCCTTTAACTTGACCAGTTTGGAGATGCATCCGTCATAATTCAGCCTTGTGGCTGCAAATAAAGCTTACTTACTAGCCCCCTTTTCCCCTTGTAATGAATGTTCTGTGGTCCGATCTACTGCCATGTTTATTTCATACGGATCTGGATCACATTCAGTGATCCGTCACTGGTTTACAGACACCAAAACTCACCTAATGGGTAGTAGGAATTAGCATAAGGATCAATGATCGAGATCTAGATCCATGTGAAACAGAGGCAGTTAGAAACACAAAGCCTGGTTTCCATATTGACGTAATGAGTTGCAGACAGTGTCGCTGAGAAGTCCCTGATCTTATAAAATCATATGGAAACACTTTATCACAACTCGTTCCAACACTGTCGGATTGTTTGTTTCAAACGGATCGTGATCAGTGATCCTAAAGCTGGTTAACACTATCCATCACACGGTTCCAGGTATCATTGAACCAACCTCAGAACACTAATTGCAATCCGGATCTGCTTGAAACAAACAGTCCCTTATACAGGTAGTTGGATAAGGTTCAACTTAGCTGACTGTCTTAGTCATAAGTGTAGGCCAATGTCCGCACTGACATAACAGGCATACAACATCTTTCTTACTTTCTTACAACATCTAATACCAATTTGTCTTAAAGAAATGAACCCCAGCTTGTCATCAAAACAGCTGATCATATGAAGAAAACACTACATTGAAGGACCAAGTATGACTTTACTTTTAAATGATATGGCATCAAAAGAGGTACTCTGTACAAAAGTTGCCAGAGTCTCAGTGTCTCGTTTTGATTAGTTGGTCCCTTATGCAACTGTCTGTGTCTTGGCATATAAGGAGCTGTTTGCAATCTTCACGACCACACAGAAACTAGGATATACATCTCTGCTTCTAACTTACGGATGTTCTCACAGAGCTCTCCATAAAATCCTCGTGGGCAGAGACAAAGTCTGTTCTCACACATGCCGCCATTTAAGCAGGGAGGATCGCACTCTGAAACTTAAGAAAACAAACAGAAAAGTTCACTGGTACCTTTCTTCTTGGACACCAAAATTTTACATCACTGATATCATCAAGGGTCAAGTTGATAAACTCAGTGCTGACACAAAGTGTCACACAATCATTGGTCATACCAAATACAGGCCCACGTCATTTCCGTGAGCATCACAGCACTTTTCGTACTTGGCAACCAGGTTGGACAATGTGACATATGTCCCACTCTAGGAATATGAATGAGTACGGACTTGATTTTTCATTTAATAGAAAAGGGTAGTAAAAACAGTTACAATCAAGGAAAGGCTGCCTGTCCATAGTGAAAGCAGATGTCCAGGTGAGGATCCAGAGGGCCACCTTCACCCCCCTGTCCCCCATTGCCCCTGCTCCTTTTTGCTTTGTTTTTAGCGGCCTACATCTAAAGGCTGAAAGACTCCCTGCAGAGGTCTTATTGTGTGTTAGGTTAAAGAGATTAAATGGCTTCAACGATGAAGACAAAGCAGTCTCCCCCACTCTAGCACGAAAAAAAATGAAACCCCCCCAAATTCGGGATCCACTCCTGATGTCTGTGTCACATGTGAAGCAAAAGAACTGTCCATTATACATAATGGTGTTATTATTGTCTGATTAAGGGAAGGAGAGCAAGAGGTAAGAAATCGTACCAGAAAATGCAGCCAATGATACCGAAGGATTGTGCAAGAATCTTGTATTCGTAAAAGGCATGTCTCGGTCATTCGTCTCTATAGCTACTTACTTCTAATATGGCATGCCTCGCCAGTGAAACCGTCCAGGCATATGCATTTGGTGTTCAGGCAGAACCCGTTGACACACTCTGGTTCACAGGGTGGAGCTTTCAGAGAAAGAGAAAACAAACTGAGAGTCTGTGCCGGTATTGGTGATTTGCTTCTATGATCGTATCTATCTTTAGAGACCATTACACAGAAATGCCAACATCTCAGACAAATGGCAGTCCATTAAAGGTAAAAGTAACTTTGTTGGCCCCCCTGAAATCTCCATGTTGGCAGAAGGCATGAATTAAGTGGAACAGATAATTGCTTCCATTATAAGTCTAAATACTGCTTAAGCTTTTGAATCATCAGCAAGGTTTGTAGTCTATCTTTATTTTCATACTTTCTGCTACTTGTCTTACACAACATGTAGAGATTGTGCAAGACAGCCATTTTTATGGTAAGGGCTTTTGTTCCACAGGGATACACATGAGTAGACGTTTTGTGCTACCACTCTGTAACAAAATCAGTTACCAGAGAGATGGCAGCTATGCAAAACCTTTATTTTATTCACATTATACTGAGTAGCCATAAAGGCACTAGTGCAAGCTTATGCAGGCCCCTTTTTTCCTTTTGCCTTTTGCAAAGGGAACCTGGTCCCTCATTCGATTATCAACTAACTTATAGGTATACAAACATATTTTAATGCCCTCATCAGCTGGCCAAGTCTGCAAATCCTACGAACATTGGAAGAAAATTTACACAATTTAGAAAAAACAGGGTCCTGTGTTTGAGTCTTCAAAAACTCCAAGTATTTTTTGACATTCTATAATTAACCATTAGCTGTTCTGTATGATGAGGGACCTTTGGCCTTACTTCTGACAACCAGAGAGACTGACTTCCGCAGAGGCCCAGCGCGGCAGGAATACGTGTCAATGTCTTCAAAGATCAGGTCAATTAGAACCAGTTGGACTTGGGTCGGTGACAGGCGACGCACATGTCGATGTAGGTCACCGCCTAATGATCAGGGAAACAAAAATGATTGATCAGTATCAACTGGGACATATTCTTTTCCTTGTGAGAGGCAAGGTTTTTCTTTGCCGAAGTACTGCAGGGTAACTGATGTTTAAACTGGTATGTTACATGTTTATATGCCAGTTGTGAGGGTAGGTCACAATGGCAAAACTGACGAAAAGTTAAGGACAGTCACAATGGCGGTCACAGTACTAGCAGCAAAAAATACTGTCAATGGCAGGGCTAACATCACAGAGACAACATTACTTCAAAACTGCAAAAGTAACAGTAATGACTAGTTGAAAATATGTAATCTAATGGTGGATACAATTATTACAACAGTGACAATGTGTCTTACCGTCCTCAAGTGACAAAATGACTTCGCCAGTTCTCATTACCCACTCAGGGTTGATGGGAGCATCCGGGCCACTGGTGATGCACATGAAGGTCACATTCTCGCCGACTTCCGGAATGTCGCCGCGACCCAGTTCTATCCGCAATGTCGTTTCATCATCAACTGAAAAAAAGGGACAGACAAAAACAATGGAGACAGGTTACATATAGTTTAGGAAAACATCAAAACATACGAGTTCACAGAAAGCGACCATTCAAATTTTAAAGACAATCCCCAGTTTAAATGAAGTTTTTCCATAAAGCATGCATTTCCTAAGGCTCCAGTCAAGCCTGTCATTAATCTCTGCTAGTCCACCACAAGTCACCCAGCCTTTAAGGAGAAGTCACAAGTGATTGTTTTAAATGTTTACTAAAGTATTTCTTTATCACTGATCACCCTTGTACTGGAAACTGGGCTTGTAATAGGACTTATGGCGATAGAGAGGAGGAACATCTCAATAAATGACTATGGGTTTCCGCATTAAGCAAAGTCTTGAAAGGTGACTTAGAAATTAGCTTCAAATCAGGTATTTCGGCAATATGGTTCTCTGTCTCATCCACACAAAGTGCAGGAACACAACACGCAGAGAATGTACATTGCATTTATGTTACTGGTGGTATCTATGTAAGCATGCATGAAAAGAACACAACAGATCGATGATGGTAAAACTAAATCTCCAACAGTTCACCTATAAAGTAATACAAACAAGAATGACTTATGTTTTGAAAAGCTGGAGAACTGGTTGGACATTAACCCCTTTGCACCGGGAACCGTCGACAGCCGCGGCTTTGTGTGAGGATTAGTGCATACCACACATACAGTCTATTCACCATGTAGCTGCTGGTTCAATGTTCAATGGGGCCTGCTGATGGACAAAGCCCTCCATTCAGGGTATACCACAGCCCAGCATTCACGGTCAAAAGAATTACCGGTGCGAAGGGGTTACAAGAAAAGAAGTTTAAACTGGTAACGAAAAGATGGAATGGTTTCGTACTGGAGTACTGGCAGAAGTCTCCTTGGTAGTCAGCAGTACAGATGCACTTCTTGTTGTTGCAGGTGCCTCCGTTGTAGCACAGGCGAAGTGAGTTGCATCCTTCCTCTGATGCAATGCAATCGAGAGAAATGTGATTACCTCACAGGGAAAATGTATACGTATCACACAATTACAATGACTCAGTAACACCTTGGAGGTGAAACAGACAAATTGTTGGGAATGCTCGCTTTTTTAAACCTGCTTTCCATTAGGTACACTTTTTTATGGGACAGGTGTTGGTGCAGGTGTGGATGCAGAGCTTGACATAGCCCCTGCTCAGACCGGGAACAAAAACCAGACCTGAACCTTGACCCAGCTGCAGCTCATGAGCAAATACCAAACAAGGATCCAGACATCGACACCTTGACCTAGAACCTGACAAAGACCTTGGCTCTACCCTCACATGAACACAGATCAGGAGCCTGCCCAAGACCAGGATCCACATGTGTACACCTAAAACTCCAACCTCAGACAGAGACCTTGACTTAACCCTCACATGGACACAGATCTGGAGCTTACCCAAGACAAAGATCCAGTCGTGTACCTCACACCTTGCCCCCTTGCACCCAAAAGACCTTGAACTGGGCCTTGAACTGAGCCCCAATATGGACACAGATCTGGGCTAACTTGAGACTTGGATCCCTACTTGCACACCAAGACATAGACCCCGACAAAGACTTTCTCTTGGACCTTGGTCTAAATTTGGACATGGACAGAAATCTGAAGCCAAACATCAGGCCAGGACCGACACATGCACATCAAGACCTAGACCTGAAGACCATCATGTACACTCTGACACAAACTGGATCTCCAATATGGGCCCACACTTATACCACCATGACTTTGATCTTGATTCAAGCTTTAACACTGCACATCCAAGCTCATGAATACTTTCAAAGAATCAATGATACCTATGCTGTCGCAGTAATCTCCAGTGAATGGTTCAGGGCAGTCGCACACGCCATTCCGGCAGACACCGCCATGCATGCAGCCTCTGTCACAAGTGGGGGCTGCAAAACACAAATGAACAAAACCCCAATTCATGTCCGACTTAAAATATACAAGGCTTTGACAGTTCAACCAGCAGATTAAAGTGTGGATTCTAAGACAGGGTACGTGATGAAAATATTGATACGTAGAATACAGTCAGCCTTCTGTTCCCTTGCCCAACAGAGACGTAGAGATCCGCACTAATACATTTTGTCAGGGGAAAGGGTTCAATTATGTACAACATGACTGAACAGAATGAGCCAGATATTAACAGAACTATGTTTGTGTTTCAAGCCTTAAAATCAATCTTGCCCAAAATCAAGCAATTGGATCCTTCCTCTTTTTCACCCCCACACCATCCGTTTTTATCAAGACGCCACAAAGGACACAACAAACTGGAAGGCTCAGTATATTAGTTCTAGGGGAAATAAAACAAAATTACTTCAACCAGTGGCCTTAAGACTCATTTTGCGGGATCAAGTAATGACTATCCTTGTGTACCTAGAGTGATGTTGAACTCGGCACTGAGGGGTCCAACAGTGCACCGGTAAGGTCCTTCGTCGCTCTCAATGACGCCATTGACAATGAGGGCTGTTGTTCTGGGGTTCAGGTAATCAGCATATTTGTGTCCTGTACCTCCTAGGGAAACAAAAACAATACAAGTCTGTGAAGAACTTCTGGAAATTGATAGGATTGGAGCCACTTTCATTCAAGCATACAAGAAAGGTCTTTCCAGTAGGGAAAAACAAAAATTGGGAAATTGTGAAACTTTTAGGCCTACCAGTCAAATTACAAAAAAAAAGACCTGAGGCCTTTCAAAAAAATTGAAAATTGGATTCGAGATCCAGTATCCAAGTTTAATAAAACTTCCTGTAAAACAAGAAATGGGTTTTAATTCAGAGAGGCCACTTGATTGGATCTCAGCCACAGTGGACAGTATATAAGAATTGAGTACTGGTCAAGTATGAATTAAGCGATTGACCTAGCAACCATATTTGTGAGTGACAATATAATTGGATACCACATGGGTTTAAAGCGATTGACCTAGCAACCATATTTGTGAGTGACAATATAATTGGATACCTCATGGGTTTAGCTAGTGTTTGGTGTATGACAGCAACGTAAATACTTTCAGCTGAGCCGGAATGTACAGTAACCTTGACAGTCTTAAAATTGTCTTGAACTACATGTATATCCCATTAGCTGTACTTTTTCTATGTCCCAATATTAAGCTATACTTATTTCAATGCCCAATATCAGAATGCACAGCTGAAAAACCTTAAAGACTATTCTAACTCCGCATCTGTTTTTATAAAGGTTTCACGGTGTTTTATGGTTCTTGAACCTATTGGCTTCACATGGATCTGAATATCAATCGGTGATTCCAATGCTGGGTCACTCTATCCATTATGCCATAATGGGGGCTCTGGTAACAGTGTACCAATGACAAACCAACTGATCCAGATTCAGATCTGTGTGAAGCTAACAGGCCCTTAATGCTTGTACTTATTCTTCACCTCAAATCAGAATGCATTACGGACCAAACTCATTTATACTTTTTTCTGTTCTGTTCTGAAATGTCCACCAACACTGCTTTCTTTTTCTATCTGTCAGTAATCTACGGCTCATAACCTAACCTAAGGACCTAACTCAGTGGGCCCAGGTACCTTGGAAAGACCCAAACTAGTTCTTATCTGGTGGACAACTTGCTATGAACCTCATCTCCGGTAGTACTTGGGCTTTCCATTATGTTCCACATAGTAAGCCCTGGCTGCAAACTGTTTTACCTGTGCCCTGATTTGTTGCAGCAACAGCAAATATCTGATTTATACAAAGTACTTTGTGTTATTCGCGCCACAACTGCAAATTAGCTGCAAAAGACCTTAACATTCTTTCTTTATAAACATTTTTGTTTCAGATCAGTCAAACTGCATAAAGCAAGCCTGTTTTGTACATCAGACAATTCATACAAAAGCAAACATTCGTTTCAATGCACAGCTATGTGTATGCACAATGTTCTTCTAGATGTACCAGAAATATGCTGCAGATCCAACTCACCCAGTCCTAGTCCCCTGACCCGCTGTCCTCCTGGTCCAGTCCACTCTGGGGTTCCAATCCTCACCGGTCCAACAATGTCACACTCTATGCTGTAGCTGCCGCCCACCCCAGGGCCATCTGGAGTGCTTGGCCTCAGGTAGATACGGAAATCCCGGTCCACTGAAGAAATTAAAATAAATAGCGAGTTTACGAAAACAAATAGTTTGGCAAATGTTAAGTACAGTAAGAGTGTAATTGATGTAAAAAATATCTGTTTGTAAATTTATTAAAACTGGCAGAAGTCTTCCATCAGTCTGAGTCTGAGTCATATGTAATGCAGTAACGAGGGAAACCCCTTTATAAAACTAGTTGTGACAGTTCAAAATAACTGAAACATTCCATTGACAGTGGACCTACATCACAAATATTGATTTACATTTTCCAAAATCACAGAAAATCAACACTGGATACTTTCTATTTTGGCAGAGGTCCCCAGTCTGTAGGTATTAAACAATGTACATTATTTTCAGTGGCAAAATGACAAGCTGTGATATTCTAATTTCTGGAAAACTGTTAATGTGTCCATTCTACTTTGCTATCCTGCTTCATGGTGGTGATATTATCACTTCACAAAAAGAACAGTATGCCAAGAATGCGGGATGAATCGTCTTTTAACCATTGAATTTTCTTCACTCAACCACAACTAAATTTAAGTGAGACTAACATCTGTGACCGTAAAGTCCCCAGGTCCCTTAAATATTTCACCACTTTTGGTAAAAACAGTAAGACTTGACAACAGGCGGCAAAATCAGGGACCTGGCAACTATACACTGTCGGACCAAAGTCACCTCCATTTGTGACCAATTATTTTCTCAAATCAAATGTATTCAGTGGTGTTGGAACTTACAAGAGTATTCGCAGAACTGTCCAACAATACGCTCTGGACATACGCACATTCCTTCTACGCATGACCCTCCATTCTGGCATTCCTGGAGACACTCCGGGACTGGAAAACAAAATATGTAATTTATTTCCAAACAGTACAATACTATTAAAGAAACCAAAATACCTGGATGGGGAAACTCACTCTTGAAGTCAAATTTTATACACAGTATAATGACGGCCCCTGAGCCAGACAAATGAATATTCAAAATCACGGTCTAGACCCCCAGCCTTGTGAGAATGGGATATCGTTCTTTAATTCTTTTACATTTCCATAACATGCAAACTGCATGATAATAAATATTCATTTCCTGGGGGTTCTAACAGGATATTCCTAGTAACATCCTGAATAAACAAAGTATGGAACATCAGAATTTAAAATCTTTGATAACTCAATTGTAATTTACAAATACTTCAGTGTATTTCAGGAAACCCTAAAGCTGCACACACTGAACTTCTCCGATAGCGCGTAAGTATTTTACAAATACTTCAAAATATTTCATGATATTTTAATGCTATGCCTACACAAATAACATTTGGATAATCAAAATCAAATTCTTAACTCCTAATTAGTCATTTATAGATACTTCTAATGTATATCATTGGTATCCTCCACTTACCGTACACGGAGAGGACAATGCTTGTTCTCCTGGGACCAGCTTCACATGTGTAGATTCCAGCATCTATCTCGTTGATGTCTTTGATGACGAGTCTCTGAGCAAAGCTTGACACGTTAGTGGTGTAAATACGACTGAACACTGCAATATAAAAAAATACAGTGTGACCATTTTCTGACAAAACAAATCAATCGACACAGTCTTTGAACATGTGACCTCCAAGATAATGTACTACTGTAGGCCTCTAGTGACCATGCTACCCAGTTCAGTTGGTGTGGATGAGCTGCTACAAAAGGGTTCCCAAGGAAATCTGTGAACCAAACTCCATAGCCCATCCAAGACTTTCCAGGACTTAAATCTAAGTCAGAATTTTCATAACAGTTAATGTCATTTTGCAGAGATAATTTGTTTGGAATTAAGAACTGGAAGATTACCATAGTTGCTACTACAGACTGACAAGAACAGAGCCTGCTAATTCTTCATTATTCCAATCTCACATCAAAGCCACCTGTCAAAGTAACCCTTTCATGATCTTGATTTTTCCATAAATTTTCCATGATTTTTTGCTCTGACAACAGGATTCCAAAATAACCTGATTCTTCACAATTTTTCATGACATCCCAGGACTAATTTTTCCCAGAATTTCAATGACTCACAATAACCCGACACATATATACACAATGAAAGAATCTGTAATCACATTTTCAACATCCAGTTAATTTAAAACAAGATTCAGATTTCACACGCTTTGCCTCAATTGTTGTCTGACACTTTACCTTCATCCTGTTCTCCAATGGGCACTCCATACTGGTTGTACCAGGTGGGGTTCTCTAGGGCATGGGTCCCGACTGCCTCGCAGAGGTATGAGACTTCACCCCCTACGACTGGATTGTAGTTTGTGCCAACGGTGACGTTCAGGTCAAACGGACGGAAAGCTGTTAACAGAATTACAGATTCCACATTTTGATCTCCTGATTCCTCAAATTAATGTCAAAGAAAACGAACAAAAAATGTCTATGATTAGCTCGCCATTAACCACAGGTAGGGACAGAGTGTGATACACCTTTTTGTGGTACGTAGCAACCGCACCAGCCACTGGTGGCAGAAGTAGGGGGGGCAGGGTGGCCAGTGGCCCCACACTTTTTGACCGGGGGCATGGCCCCCCTCCCACTTTTTGCAGGGCCTACAATGGGGCAGGGATTCATGGATTGGCATATAATGGCTGATGCCTGATGGTCCAACAACTGGCCCCCCACTTTGAAAATCGTTCCACCGCTGCTGACACCAGCTCAGCGATGAGAAAGCCTGCTTGCCAATCAGCCGGCAAACTGGCTTTTCAATCGGCAATGAGGCCTGTCAGCTGACAAGTCGCATGAGCTAGTCGTTTGTCGTTTGGTCAGTCGGTCATCCAAGCAATCTCTTCCTACTTACTCTCTATTTGGCAGAAGTCCCCGGAGTAGCCATCAGGGCAGAGACAGGCCTCATTGATGCAGGCCCCATCATTGATGCAATCAGGTATACAACCAGCAGCTGGGAAAACAAACAAGTAAACAAACAAACAAATGAACAGAAGATGAAAATGCAACATACATAATTCATAGTAGACCCCTGCACCCTTTAAACAAGCTTTTTGGATGCAGCTTAATCAACCCAGGACTGAAATTGAAATTGCTGCAGAAGTTTCTAACACCTGTAAGAGCAGACTTCACCACACAGTCAGCCTCATTAACTTCCCACAGTATCACCTGCTGAATAGTTTGAATGACCTTGAGGAAGAAACCACCATATGCTTGGTGGATGCAGATTTTTTAATGGCATCACATGTATGGAAATTAAAGCCATGTCCTGTCACTGGTTACCTGCTACTGTGACTGGGTAGAAACTTGTTATAGGGCCTACGGAGCAACTATAGACTCCCTGGTGCTCCGGGGATATGTCGAGGATCGTCAGTTCATTCACAAAGGTGTTCACTGGTTCCGTGTACCGTTCCTGACCTGTAATAGGGATGGATAGATATAGACCCCCCAAAACATCAGCTTGGATCAGGTAGAAAAGACAATGACATCCGAAAGACAGCGGAAATCAGAGAAGGGTCAGATCAGACAGATAAGAATGACACAAGGGTCTGTAATTTCTAAGATTAGAAATAGGACAGATACCTGAGTGATCTGGAAAGGCTAAGATTGAGATCAACAGACAAGGATAGCACAGGGTCAGCAATTGATTAGATACTGGAGATTGGTAATGGGGGATGAGAAAAGTATATCGTGTGGTAGTGCTTAGATCAATGGCAATGATTGATTGAAAACATTATATTGCATAACCCTGCTTCATTCCTGCTCAATCTGAGAGCCTTTATTTTACTTGAAGACATTGCCCCTATATCCTAACAAATAGACATGCATCTATTGCATAGATACCAGGTAGGTGTATCTGGTAGAGAAATAGTGATTATATTGCCTGCTTCATCCTACAACAAAAACCTGGGTCTATTTCATAGTCTTCTAATCTATTAAACCTACCTGGTAGAGCCACATCGATGATATTGCCGGCCTCATCCCTCCACACTGGTTTCATGTAGATCTCGTTTTCCTGAATTTCGCATCTGTATGTTACATTCTCTCCTCGTCTTGGTTCCCTGTCGATGCTGGGCGTGATGGTAATAGTCAAGCCATCGCCGGACAGATCCACTGGAGATAAAGACTGCACCTCATAAATCTGATGACCACTGTTAGGTCACATGATATTCAATACTTGATTGGTAATTTTTTTTCCAGAATCTCCCACATCAAAATCAGATTTGCAGAGTCAATTTAACGTCCCCTTTTAAATCATTCACCAGTTTGTTGTATCAACTAATTTAAAAGTAATTATGCTGCATTCACCTGAACTGAAATTTGCTAATCATTTGTTTACTGGCCACAAGTACATTATCTGCTATTCCAACTAGCGACCACAACTGCTTACTGTGGCCACGTCTATTTCTTTGTGTATGACACTCTTTATTTGTGTCATTGGATATTTAATAGCCATATGGGACACATGATTAACCAGTTTACTTTGGCTTTGCTTGCTTTCAGCTCCACAGTAATATGTGATTACCTGGAATCTCACAGGATTCTCCGGCATACCCCATGGCGCATCGGCAAACCCCGTCCTGGCAAACTCCTCCATTTAAGCATGGACCGACACAAGTCTCTCCTGCCATAGAAGAGGGCAGAGAAGTTGGTGGATGCAAATGTGTTTCAAAAGTAAACATGTCATTTGTCCTCTTCACAGTTTTTCCCAACTGTTGACCTAACTATTGGGGATGCAGCAGTCAAGAGCATCATCCATGGGTGTACATGGAGGGGGGGTAGGGGAATGTATACCCCCAGCTTTTTGAAAACTGGGATGGACTACTGAATCCTCCCCCAAATATACGGTAGGTTGTGAAGAAATTTTTGGACTCCCCAACACCCAAAATGTTTTCATCAGCACACAAAAGGGAGGAAACTTTTTGCATACACCAAAAATAATGTACAGTTCTACCGGAGTTTAGTACATATCACAGATATTCATCTGTATGATGAACACCGCCCTCTAGTGTCAGCACTCCCCCTTATATTTTCCAAAGCCGAGAAAGTCATCCCTTCACAATAGCCCATCCCCCGAGTTGTCAGCACAAATGCAATCATCACAAGTCCCACAACAAAAACATTCCTTCGTCACTGTTCACCCTGTTACTTTTGACTGGTCTTGTGAAGATATTGCAAATGGACATGTGAAGGGACTAGGGAAAGAGCCTGTGACAGACATGACTACAACACTGTGTTATACATAAATTCAATCTGTTCTAATAGTGCTTGCGTTGCTCAAACTAATTTTTTGGCTGTGTTTTATGTACGCATGTCTGTAATTTTGCTTGATTTAAATTATCAATTTGTATCTATCTTTGAGGTATGCCCTATAAGCTTGGGCCTCTGTCTATCATTCCTCCATCATACATTTCCGCTTTGAGTCACACTCTTTGTATATTACTTTTGGAAACAAATATTCACTAAACTGAATTGACCATTTGCCAAATGTTTTGTCAAGTGGAGAGATCTCATAGGGCTGCTCAACTTACTTCTTGGCATGATGGTTATCTCTGTGGTGAGTGGGCCCACTTGGCAAGTGTATGTACCAGCATCAGCTAGGGTCACTCCTTGAATGTACAATTTGCTGTTGGTAGCCGACTGTCGAGTGTACAGGGTGTCAGATCCACCTGTTAAAATAATTTGCATAATTGATTGATAGCTATATAAGGCTGAATCTAAGCCATGTGCCTCTTTCTTTGTTGATTAGAAATCTATGTCTTAATTTCCTAAACACTTTTAAGTTGGTACCATAGAAAAACAAGAAGTATCACATCAGAAAGCAGCGGAAAAACATTTATATGAATGTGCTTTTGTCCTTTTTTTCTTAACCCACTGATAGATTTTATTTTATTTTATTACACTTTCCCACTGGCTATTGTAAAACAAGACCAAAAAAATTAATACATTAAAAACATATAGGGCCTACATAAAACATTTGACATGACAGATGACGGGTATAAAAAACAGGATGCTAAAAAGCCAGTGAATGGCAAGGTGGAACAGGTGACCAGCACCTTTACAGAGCCATCCTACCACATGACGAAAATGAAGAAATGGGAACAAGTGGGGATTTATTAATATCTACAACCAGCACAGCGACAGTTAGGCATCCAAGTACATATATTATCAGATTCGAAGCTAGAGAACTTTGTTTTACAAGGGGACAGGGGCAACAAGGCCCATGCCACATTTCCCCACTTGGGGAAATTTTTGAGAAGGGAAAAAAAAAAAAATCACTAAAACACATTTTTTTAAGCAATTCACCTCTATTCCTTTCATAAGCATGTACAAAGCCCCAAATTTAGACCGAATCCTCAAAAACGCCATCAAAATTTCACAACAAAATGTCCAAATTCTGGGGTCCCCGCCCTTCTCTGAACCAGAGTGACAATCATCCAATGTTGATAATGTGCATGCCCAGATAGAACGCCAGACTGGTTCATTCTTAATGCAGGGTGGAGGTTGAGAACTTGGTGACAGAAATGTCACTGACAAACGGTTTCTGAAATACTAGCATTGACTTTCAGCTCGCCACACCTACCCAGCTCCTTGGAGTAAATGACGTTCCCCCTGGGGTCGATCCACTGTGGGTCCCTGTAGGGACTGGAACCCCGTATCTCGCACAGGATGCGCATGTTGTCGCCGACAACTGGGTTCTGACCCTTCTGAATGCGGATGCGGAACTGGTATTCCTGGCTGACTGCAATGTCGAAATGAGAATAAACCCAAAAAAGAGTTCCTAACAGACCCAGTGATAAAGTTTGGATGATTCCTCCTGGGAATGACTAGAGCATCCCATAGATCACTAGCTTATGCAGACTTAAATATGCAGAGCAAATTTCCAACTTTAAGGTGTTCAAATCAGAATAAAAGTAAAAACCTTTCCTCACAAATCCCAGGTGCCAGCTTGGACGATTAACACTGGGAATGACTAGAATAAACAGGAAATTAACTCTTTTCACTCAAAACAAAATCTGTATCGGCTGCTGTGAAAATGGAATGGGAGAGGTGTTCCAACCAAACCTTTTTACTGAAGGTGCAACATGTCACTGTAAACTGCAGAGTAAATTTCCAGCTTTACTTCTTACTCTCGAAAATTTATTGCATCATGCGTGACTTGAGTCCAAAAAAGGATCCATCTCTAAACACGTATCTGTCATTGATGTGCATTAGTTAGCTAGATCTCATATGAGGTGTTCACTGGAAACTGCTGCTTTGGATTCCTACTGCTGTTTGTATGACCAAAACCATAACAGATAGGAAAGTGTATGTATTTATGCATTTCCATAACTGTTTGCAAGTGAAACATCTCTTTGTTTACAAATACATTAATGCAAATTAGAATCTGATGATTAGTTTGTTGACTATGAAAACTAATGAATGTAAAAAAGTAAACTATTTTGCATTGGCTCAGTGCTATAAGTTCATTACAGTAAATAATGTAAGTTCAGGGTCTTACTCTGAGCATGAAAGAAAAATTTCACAGAAACAGAATACTTGGGGACCAACATAATTAAAGTTTATCCATTTGAACAGCAATAATTTTTAATAAAGACCTGTTGTTGCAAAGATTGCTGCAAAGTTTCAACACGGATCTTTCAGCTGCGCCACAATATTTGGTCAGTCTACGTAAGTGCTTACCCAACTAGCCAACTTATGTGGAGTCGATGCATGGGTTCTCTTGCTCAAATAACCAGAATCAATACAGCAGACTTACTGATATTTTGGCAGAACCCGCCAACGTAATCACTTGGGCAGACGCAGGATCCCTGGATGCAGGTCCCTCCATTGGCACAGGGGGTGCGACATTCAGAGGCTTCAAAGAAAAAAACAAGAAGTCCATTTAAGACCGCATTCAAACTGTTTTATTTCTAGTCAGAAAGCAGTGCAATGAAAAATATCCTGCAAACTCAGTCAGGCAGTTGTTGTCAGGACTATTTCTGACATCCCAAAAATTCACAGAGTGAAACATTTGAGTCAAATCACAGAGAAACACACCTAGTAATTTGACTTGGAATCATACAACGAGGTGCGAATGTCAAGCTAAGGTAATATATAACAAGGACTCATAATGGTCTTGGTAAAATTCTCAACATCAAAGAAACATTTCTCCCCGAGTTCAAGGCACAATAAAAAGTATACATCGATGCATAAACAGCCTTCTAGGTCCTCTCCCCAAAAGCGTCATAAGTTGAACTGCCAATTTAAAATTTCCAGCAAAATGCACACTTCAGGCCTGAATCTGGAAATTCAGAACAAAGTGAGGAAATTCCAACTTCTCAAGACACTGTACAGCATTTTTCAGTATTCAATGGTAAAGGAAAGTTGCAAAAATGGAAGTCAGCTGATCTCAGAGAAGGTTGTCTACCTCGTGTGACCAGCCTGTTTGCTTACTCAATCTTAAATTTCACATTGGGGGTTGTAATTTTACGGAACTTTGGACTTGAATGGATATTTTGCAATTCCTTTTTAATTGTCCGCAGGTTTTACCTCGGACACTGATGTACAGGATGGCCCGATTCAGTCCCACAATACAGCTGTAGTTGCCAGCATCTGCTTCCTGTATCTGGTTGAAGACGAGCCGGGTAGCGCTTGCCGACAGCGGCTCAGCAAACTGTCTTAGGGACCCTCCATCTAAGCAACAGAGTCAAATGAGACTGAGTCAATTCCAATAGTTATTACTAAAATACTTTGCATTTCATCTGAATCAGTATTAATATAATCCATTATACTGCCATTTAATAAACTATTTGGTATGCCTCTTATGCTTAACAACAGGGACAGATCCCAAAAGCACATCACCTTTACTTTTCCAACTTTGTAAGAACTGCAGACGGCATAATTACAGTTTTCTGGGGAAAATGACTTTGCCACCACCAATGAGGGTTGTGTTCTGGTTAATGTCTGATTACTTCAGCACAGGTGACAGAGGATAGAGTGACAATTAGTTGCCATGTTGCAAAGATTTAGTTGAAAATGTAACATGACCTTTCCCTGAGAAAATACATACTTGCTATGGAGAGCTCCTCACATACACAAAAGCCTGTTTTAAACCAAGTTTGTACAAAATAATTTGCTTCCAGCAGAGATGTACTGCAGGTTTATACCATGCTAATGTTTGATTTCCCCCATCTCTCAGAAAGTCTAGACATGTGCCTACATGTACAGGCTAACCAATGTTTAGTCAAAGCCCAGACTGGAACAAAATCTAAGTGTGAATAATGGAGCCTGGATTCTGGCGCACACTTCTCACCTTCATTCTGATTGACAATGACATCACCGTTGGTATCCAGCCAGATGGGGTTGCCGTAGTTACTGCCGCCGGGGACACTGCAGACGAAGCTGATACTGTCGCCTGCGTTGGGTTGATCGTCAGAGCCATCGATCTTGATAATAAAAGGCTGTTGCACTGAGACAAGAACAAACACAGTCCTGTTGATTTATGAGGAATTAAAAAGAACACTCCTGGACCGACAAATTCTGCCTTAGCTGCCACGATAACATCACCAATGTTTCAGAAAAACTCCAAACCTGACTGAGATACTGTAAACACATGTTAACTTCCTTAGCACAGTTGAGATGTTAACAAATTGATGTGTAGGAAGTGCTTCTTTTGGCAGCTTTCCAAATATTCATCACAATTCTAAAACAAATCCTAGTTTTGTCTGCTACTAGACTTAAAGCATTCAATGCAATGATTGTAACCTGGGAAAAAAAGGGGGGAGCAAACTTACCCAGAACTTCGCAGTAGTTTCCAGTGAAGCCTTCGGGGCACTGGCAGGCACCCGCTACGCAGCTGCCTCCATTGAAGCAACCTAAGCCACAGTTGGGCTCTGCGATCAAGTATGACCCAAAATGACAGATTCAACAATGGGGAGAAAAGGCGGTGGAAAACAACGGAGCTTCAAAGACTAACCACAGGACATGAGCAAAACTCCTTAACCACAGAAATTCTTGCACATTAAAAACATGGCCCTTAATAAAACAATAATAATTTCTTCAATCAATGATCCGTCAGCGGTAAAAATAGGGACATACATAGTAACTGAGGGGTTGGTGGTTTGGGTGCTCCAAATAGATATTTTGAAAGGATAATCACAGTTCATTTGCTTTTAGATCCACTTTGAAATAAATGTGTGCATCCCTGGAGTGCTGTGAGCAGTGGCCTGACGAAGAGGAGGGGGGTGTGAGGGGTACAGCCCCCTCCAACTCCATGCCTGTGCCCCCTGCTCTGACATCTGAGGTTAGTCTGCCTCTGTCAGTATTTACCTTTACCTAGGCAGTTCAAATCTTGACACATGCCCAAGAGAACATTACGGCCCAAAGTGGACCCTCCCAAAAAGTACCCAAGTTACGCCACTGGCTTTGAGAAATTTCATCCAAATACCTTACTGACTTGAAACATGAAGTACAAAACCCCAAAAAATTAACCAAAACTGAGAGCACTTTTTGCATTTAATAGTAAAACATCACAGGGCACAGCATACCGGTATGGTGCAATGTAGTTTGAAGGGAAGGATACACTGAACACAAAAGCTTTTATATTAGGAGTCAATTTTTGAAAGTAATCACAGCTCCACAGATACTGAACGTTACTTGAACTGGTCAAGTTGTTAAAATTAGAACAATAAAAGCAAAAGGAGAGCAAAACGGCACTACACCAACTTGCCTTCTCATCACAGAGTCCAAACAGACTAGTTTGACACTAGACAAGTTGAATCTAGACAAGTGTAAACAAATGACAAATTTTTGTCCAGACAGGCTTCAATGTGCCCGTCAACGATTGGCTGACGAAAGACCAATTTCTTTCACTTACGTCTGACAAAGAAGGTGAAGGTTGACCGGATTGGCCCCACGCTGCACATGTAGGTGCCGCTATCGCTGATCTCAAGGTCCCTGAGAACCATGCGGGTCGAGAACTCATCCAGCGGCTCGGTGTAGACACGAGTGGAACCACCGGGGGAGCCTGCAATGCAAACAAAACCGGTATAAATGGGAATGGTGGTGATGAGAGACCACGAAGGTGTAAACACAGCTATGTGAATCCTTTGGAACATGTGAAGAAGTGTGTCCACTGGTATCAAGAATTTATGTACCTTCCCCAGCAGTGGTAATCGGCAGTCCATCTCGGTTGAACCAGACGGGGTTGGTGTAGGGACTCCGGCTGTCGATGACGCAGGTGAACTCGGCGTCACTGCCAATCTCGGGATTCTGCTCTGGTGGCTGTTCAATCTCAATTGAGAAATCTGGAAAGAACAACAAACAGAAAACAAACCCGAAAAGATTTCTTACTATTTTTCATTTTTAAAAGCAATAAGAATATGTATCACACTTACAACAGATACTGGTTACAGCTATTAATAAAAGGAAGGTAAATTGTCAAATTGCTAATGATAATAATCACAGTAATCATCTGTGTCATTAATAAATGTTATAGCTTATTCTAGCTGTGAACTGAACATCTAACTATACCATTCCTTGAAATTGGGGTACACCTAAAACAAGATTTGGTTTACCATCTGACCCCTTCTTACTATTTTTCTTCCTGTAAAATTACTTATATTTTGTATTTGTTTCCTTGATATTATGGAACGAATATGAAATGTTATACATCTATTGTTATACATCAATGCATTGAATCATTGCAAAAAAGCACAAAGTCCCCTTGCTATGTGGGCACCACTGGCAGCAGAAGCGGGGCAGTGCCCCCCCCCCACTTTTTGACAGGGCCTAGCGTCCTCTCTTTTTACAGGTCCTATAAATGACTGATGCCTGACAGTCTAACAACTGCCCCCCTTCCACTCTTCAAAAATCATTCCGCTGAGGGTGATGGGCTCCGCAATTGATAACTGTTCCATATTCTTTCAAATCACAGTTAAATAAAAAGAGAGAAAAAACCACACAAATGCAGCAAATACAAAATAAATACACCTCCCCTGTCTTCTTCCCAAAATGGGGAAGCAATGATGGCTGACTAATCACTGGTAATGACTCTCTTAAGTGCTCAAAACTCTTATAAGTAAATTGCTAATATGCACAGCTCACAGTTGATAGGACAAGGTGCCAAGTTGTCAAACTTGCAACACGGCTGTATTCCACAATGCCAATGCTAAAAAAATTAAAAGCATGCTTTCACTACACATTTTGGTGATAAAAAATCCTGCTTATTTGTCAAAAAATTTGGAACTGTTAACAGGAGACAAATAACCTTATGTTGGTAAATATTACAAGAACAAAGCTTTACCAATGAATTCGCAGTATCGGCCCTTAAAGCCAAACGGACACTGACAGACTCCATTGGAGCAGGTTCCTCCGTAACGGCACGGTGGGTCACACTCGGGCACTGAATGTCCAAAACCAGAATTGCAAAATACTTTTTAATGGTTTACAGAGCTAAATATTGGTACAAATACACCATTACTGATGTTCAAGGTGCTGCATCATAATTATCCCTGCTCACAGTGCATACAGATATTCCTTATTATGGATTGCAGGGGTATGTGTGGCTACATACACAAAAAAGGGTGAAAATAACTTGCAAAAAGCCGACATTAACAAATCCATACTATTAAACAGAGTAGGTGTACAACAAAGCTGAAATTCAGAACATAAAATCTGAATAAAAGGTTTAAATCAGCCAAAACGCTGAATTCCCACATCCTCAGGATTAAGATTCTTTTTAGGTGTTTTATTTTGTAGGTTGTTATTACTTTTGGACACTTTGTATTTTATGTTTTTATTTATATCGGCCAATGGAAGATGTAGTAAAATGAAACGGAAACAAATAAAATTAAACCACCTCAGCGCTCTGGGGAGTATGCTGCCATTTCAGAATGAATTTCACCCTAAATCTTCCAGTCTTTTACAATTTTTGGAAACACGAGAGCAGTTTTCTTAATGTCGAGAAAAAAAACTATGGATGTGTTATGAAGCTATCGTACCGACGGCAACGACACTGTATGAGAACTGCACCGGTCCCACTTTGCACGTGTAGGTGCCTGAGTCTTGCAGCTGCAGGCGGATGAAATTCAGGCTGGTGGCCTCCGGAGACACAATGTCTGAGTAAACCCGACTGGATGCAGCTGAAAGTGCAGGACAAATGGCAAAGTTAAAGGGCGTTCTGCTTTTCCTGTTGAAAGCAGTTAGGCATCTCAAAGAAAGAGTATATATGGGAAAAGATAAAATGTCAGCCATATTGAACTGAAAGCAATGTTGACTTTTATTTATTTGGGGACCTAAGATGAAGCATGAAAGCAATCAAATG